TGCATCACACAGAACTCTTCAAAGACTGAGGAGGGGGTGAGGACACCTCAGTCTCACACAAGGTAACAGGGGTTCCACTTGCCCACTGCCCTCACCACAGCATTCCCACGAGAAGGGGTCCTGGGGGGCACTGCTGGGGCTGGAGACCCCAAACCACAGCACAGCTGAGCAGCCCCAGGGGTCACCCCCAGCAGGCAGGAGGGTCCTGGATCTGGTGCAGTCGGACACACAGGCACCCCTGAAGAGCTGGATCCAGCCCAGGGCACAGGCTGAGCTCAGCAGGGGCTGACCATGCTGGCACTGCCTTCCATGAAGAACCAAGCCCCAGCACAGCAGCTCCAGCCATCCTGTGAGCCAGCCTGGTGCAGATCTCAGTTACACCTTGGCATGAAGCCATGGGGATTCCAGACCCATTCCTGGAGGTGTCTGGGCATCTGCAACTTCCAAAAGGAGTTGGAGGTGATCAGTCCTTCTGTCACAGTGAGCTCATGGGCACTCTATTTCCCCTTCCCCGGGACCCTGTGACTCTGATCAGATAACCCTGGACCCTCCTTCCTGCCCCAACGGGGTTGGTGGAGATCCAGGGAAGCCCACCCTGTCCAAGGTCTATACAGACCCCTGACATTTCCTGTTCGTGCTCTTTTGCCCCGCTCTCCCCTTGGACACCACAGAATAAAGAGAGCTGAACCAACATATATTGGGGTAAGAGCCTCTTTTGGAAATCTTTGCCATCTCCTGATATTCCTCCCCTCACAGCCTTGGACCTCTGGGCTAGCCTGACATTCAGGGGGTTGTGTGAGGGGGGGAACATCATCCTCCCCAGGACCCAATTTGGTCACCCACCCCTCCCTTACTGGGGAGCAAGCAGAGCCATGTGAGGCAGCTGCTGGAAGAGTCCTCTCTGTTTTATTGCAGACAGAAGGCAGGGCTGGTTTCTCTGACCAGATCAAGATATGTTTCTTTGCCAAAGCCATTCCCAAACCCCAAATCCCAGGGATTGTGCAGGTAGGATGGGATCACTCCTCTTGGCGCCATCCAAACCCTCCCCTTCCCAGAGAGAGAATTTGCAGAGCTGCCCTTCACCCTCCAAACCAGGAGGAAAAAGGCAGGATTTCAGGCAACGTGGGGCTGTCTCCCCAGGAATGGCACCTTCCAGCAGGTTTTTACAGCGCCCCATTGCTGCATGCTGCTTTCCAGGCAGCAGTGCTCTGCAGGCAGCCAGGCGTGGGGGATGAGGCAGTTTTCTGTACTACAATAGATATCACAGGCCCTTTCAGTGACACTGTTATTTCTCTATTCAGAGCTCTTAATGCCAAGTGGTAGCATCCTCCCCACTTTCTCCATCCCCGCTCTTCAATCACTCCACAACTCTCAAGAAATAGCCTCGTTTCTTGTCTCTGATCAGAGGAGCAGCCTGGCACAGACCCTGATACAGCCTTTCATCTTCCCATCATTTGTGGTGCTTTCATTTTACAAGTGAAAGTCAAGTAACCAGCTTGCCTCCTCTTTTCTCCCCCTCAGAGACTCCTGCTTCTCCTCTCACAGCCTTGCTAGTGCACACACCAGGACACCCTGCATGTGCCACAGCCCATCACTGTGACCACTGAACTTGTCCCTGCTCCTTTTCCCTCTTAACCCAGGCAGTTCTCACCCAGGGAAGAACCTTCCACCCCAGAGCCATCAGGAATATGCAGGTTGTCATCTAGTCTTGCTCCCTCAAGTCCTCATGACTCCCAGAGAGGTTTTCACTCAAAGACCACAGTGGAGTGGAGGGAGAAGACAAGTTGGCCATCTGGTACATGTTTAGAGTTAAAAATCCCAAGGTTTCAGGCTCTGGAAAATTTCTGGATCAGGACAGACTTCACGACCTCTTTCTAGCCCTAAGGGAGAGGAGGAGCAGGAGAGCAACACAGTACCCCACATCTCTGCTCCAGACAGCAAGAGAAAAAGCTTCCTGGTCCAGGCAGAGAATGTTCTAGACAAAAACATGGCAGAAAACCCCCAAAAACCACATCAACAGAACTTTGCATCCCTGCTGGTTACTCAGCACCTCAACCATCACCCTCCCCTAGCCCAGCCTCAGGTATCACAGTCACACTACCTGCCTGGACAGGGATATAGAGCAGAATCCCAGGAGTTTCAGCTGCACTTCAGGGGTACAAACCATCTTTCCCAGGCAAAAGTGGGTCCTGCACCTCCTCCTGATGCCCCATCAACATTAAATTTTATCAGTCAGATTAGAGCACCATAAATCTGCCTGGAAAAGCCCCAAGCTCTGCATCTCCACAAGCACAGCTCAAACCAGAGTCTTCCCATCCAATTTCTGCAGGAGCCAATGCAGAAAGGTAAAATCCACCTGAGAGAGTGGCAGAAGGCAGTGAAAGCTCCAAACTCCCTGGAGCTGGGGCAGGATTCACCACCCACTCAGCCAAAGCACTGTCACTCCTCTGCAGGGCAGCTGGTGGCAACAAAGACTTTCCAGCAACATGATTACATGGTTTTAACACTGAGGCATGATTCCTAGAAGGTTAAAGCCTGAGAAGGGCCACCACACTAAAGAAAAATAAATAAAAGTAATAAATATAAGCAAGAGCACGCTTAGCTCCAGCACTGGAGTGGCAAAAAGGCAAAGGGATGAGCACAATGCTCTGCTGAACAGCCCAGCAAATGACAGTGCAGGTACCAAAGTAGGCACTTTATTCCTCTCATCTGAAGGCTAAACTGCTTTTTTTTTTTTGTGTGTGTGTGTGTGTGTGTTGTTTTAAATAAACTCCTCCAATTCTGGGTCAGTGACCCTGAAAAAAACCAGCTGCATGCAGCTACATGACTCAAAGATCCACAGCATCACCCTCGTGGCCCCAGGACTCCTAGCAAGATCCTTTCTCTGTCAGTAACAAGTGAAAAATTGGCGACAATAATCCCGGTTAGCGGGACTGCACTCAATGCTCATGCCCGACTCGCAGTGGTGTTTGCAGGTGCCCACAATACCTCTGATTTTCCAAGGACAAAATTTAATCAGCTTGTTTTTGCAGCCACAGAGGAGAAAATTTCATTTCAAGCCACTACTAGGGTGAGGGATTTTACTGAAAACACTAAAACATGCAGGTGTTAATATCAGGCTCAAAACATCATTTCAAAGATTAAAAAATTTAAAAAATAATTTTAAAACCCCATAAATACTTGGAAGTATATTTAAACCAGCAGTCATAAATATTATTAGTCAGAGTAGGCAACAAGAACACACTGATTTGCAGCCTGTCGTTAATATTTCCTTCCAAAACAGAAGGCTTCACAAAGTTGTGAGATTTCCTAAGATGTTTAAATAAAGGCAGTTTGAACTGCTTGGATAGTCTGAAAGAGATCTGGAGAGAAGCTGCTGAGTGTATTCATGACTGGGAAGAGAAATCTTGGATTTTTCCCTCCTGGGGGACATTTTAGGAGAGAAGGCAGCCTGTTTATCAGAGAAATCTTTGCTGAAGCTCAAGTAAAACAACGTTCATAATTCCAGCAGACCCTCACCAAGCACACCAGCCTCAGCTGAGATGAAATCCCCAACAGTTCCTGCATGCCAGGAGCAGAGAAGGACCAGCACAGGGTATTCTGCTCCTGTGTACCATTAACATGTCCTCCGTGCTGCTGCACAGCCTCTCCCCCTCCAGATGTGGGGCTGCTGCCCCTGCGCCGGCAGCGCGGGCGCGGAACTTCCCGGGGAGCCTCTGCTGCACCAGCCCCCGCTGGAAGCCACATCGCTCCACTTCATTTCGTTCTGGGGGTTCATTTCTACAAATAAGAAATGAAATCGGAATCTGGGAATGGTAAAATACTCGAAATTATAGAAGCCATGCGGAAGCCATGTGCTGGTTGCAACTCAGCTCCAAAGGGAAGCTTTAAAGACACCAAGACTGTGGAAAGAAGAAATTTTTCTATTGTCTTCTCTATTTCTTTTTTTTTTTTTTTTCCCTCCTTTTGAAAGCTTAAACTTGATTAAAGCGGCTCGGCCTGTGCCAGAGCAGACAGGGAGCTTGGAAGGAGATCAGAAGCCTTTGGGGGGTCGTGGCTCACCCTGGGATCTGACAAACAGCTGCCCTTGGCCAATGCACGCCCGGGACCGTGACCCCCACCCTGGCCCGACCCGTCCAAGCCAGGAGCATCCCCCGGGGACTGCCGAGAATGGCCCCTTCGACGGGCCTCAAGCACCCTGAATTATTTAGGGACCCTGGAGCTGGGCAGCAAACCAACCCCCCAAAACCTCCGCCGCCCTCCAGACTGCACCGGTCTCGCAAACCCTCACTGAGGGGACCAGGGAGTCTAAAATTGGCAAGAAGCGGGGTCAGGAAGGAAAAACCGATCCACACGGCAAGAGAACGGGGTTAGGGCCCCTCAGTGTGTCAGGGGAGCAGGACCAGAGACGGTCGATCCTCGGGGGAGATGATCCCCGGCAGCTTCCACTGCGAGTCCCCGTGGAACGGAGCGCTGACACCCGCGGGAGCCGCGGCGGGGCGGCGGTGGAGGGGAGACCCAAAAGAGGGGAGACCCAAAAGAGGGGAGACCCGCAGGAGGGGAGACCCAAAAAAGGGAAGCCCCGCTGGAGGGGAGCCCCAAAAGATGGGAGACCCAAAAGGGGGGAGACCCGCAGGAGGGGAGACCCGCAGGAGGGGAGCTCCAAAAAAGGGAAGCCCCGCTGGAGGGGAGCCCCAAAAGAGGGAAGCCCAGCAGGAGGGGAGTTCCAAAAGAGGGGAGCCCCGCAGGAGGGGAGCCCCGCGCCACGACAGGGACCGCCGAGCCCCTGCAACAGCCCGGAAAACTTCCCGGGCCGATAACGGCGGTGGGGAGCAGCTTCACCGGGTGCCGCCCGCTACTCCGGGGTCCTCCCAAACCCCGGCTCCCTCCTCATCACCCGGCGGGCTCCAGACGGGAGGTGCTCCCCGCCCTGCCGGCCGCTCCGGGGGCGTGGGGGCCCCGTGGGGCTTACCTCGCCGCCGAACACCTGCAAAGGATACGGGTTACAGACCAACCGGAGGCACCAGCTCCGCGGCCGGCTCTCCTGGCTCAGGTAGAAAAAGACGACGGGGGCCAGCGCCGGGTAGGGCAGCGCCTCCGCCTCCGAGTCGCCGCTGCCCGCCTCCCTGTCCCCCGGCCCCGGCTGGCCCCCGGCCCCGGACAGGTCATTAAGGCGGATGAAAGTCTTGGCTCTGCCCGGCTCCGGATCCTCCTCGGCCGCTCGCGGTCCATCTTCGTCCATCCTCCGGCCGGCGGCCCCGGGGGAGCCGGGGCGACGCGGGGCGAGCCGGTGGGACGCCTAGAGTGGCGCGGCCATGGCGGGGCAGGGGGGCTCGGGGATGCGGCGGGGCGGCTTCAGCGTCGGGGTGGCATGGCCGGGCGAGCCAGTGCCTCTCCCCCCGCCGGGCCCGGGCCGCCCCCCTCGTCCTGCCCTGCTGTCTGCGGGCTCCGTAGCTCCTCCTCGCCGTGCCTTCGGGGGCCCGAACCGGCCGAGCCGCGGGCAGGGAGGGCGGCGGGGCGGCCCCACTGCCGGTGCTGGCCCCCACCCGCGGGGCGGGCCACCCTTAGCGGCTCTGCCCGTCCCCTCTTCTCCCCGACATCCGCCCGGGGCGATGGGATGCTGCCCGGCGCCCCGGGGGACGGGCGGCGGCGGAGGATGCTCCCGCGGCGGCCGCGCCGAGCCGAGCGCTCCGCACAGCTGGATCCTCACTCCAACTTCAAGTCCCGGCTCCTCCTCCCCCCGGCGCCAATGCGGGCTCGCCCGCGGCCCCTCAGCGCCTCTCCATTGGCTGCCGCCCGCGTCCGTCCGGGGCCGCCGCCGGACCGGGCGCGCTCCCCGGCGGGGCTGGACGGGGCGCACCCGCCCGGGCACCGGCGCCGGGCACCGCCTGACCTGCGGGGCTCCGGGGCGGCAGCGGGGAGACGGAGCGCCGGGCGCTAGGGGCAGGGAAGAGCGAGGCGGCCGCGCAGCGCGTTAGGCGGAGGCAAGCCCCGGTGGGACACTGCAGCATCGGGAGAGCCGCGGGAGGAAAGGGGGAGATGCAAACAGCCCGCCCCGCCCGCTCCCTCCTGCGGGAGAGGGGAGCGCCAGCACAGCAAGGCCAGCAGGGTCCAAGCGCCGAGAGCGCTGCGGGAGCCGGCATGGAGCCCTCCCGAGCGCTGCTGAGCCTTGCACGGGATCCTCGCCCTGCCGCGGGTCCCGCGGGCTCCCTCCTGCCCCGGCCCCGCCGCCTGAGAGCGGAGACCGCGCTACCGGGCTCGGTGCATGTGGGTCACGGCCCCGTATCCCCCCTTTCCAGTCTCCGGCTGCTCCAGGGCGCTCGCCCCCGGGATGACTGGGTACACGGGCCAGCAGCTCGCAGAGGGGCTCGGCCCCGAGCCGGGGAGGGGGTCCCGTCCCCCCAGCCACGGGAGCAGCCGGTCTCGGGTCCCCCCGCTCGGAGGACGCGGCCGCAGCTCCCTCTGCCGGTGCGAGTCCCGGAGCCGGCCCGCACGGGGGATGCGCGGCCCCGGAGCGCGCCCCGGCCGCTGCCAGTCACACCTTCCTCCCGCGGCACCCGAGTCGAGGATTTTCTGCCAGCATCCGGCATTTTGACATCCCCAGGCTGAGCCAGGACCCTGCTTCTAAATGCTTAGAATTTTTTTCCACTTTAGAAACAGCTTTCTCACTCTTCCCCAGTAGCCACTCCATCATTTTTTTATAAATGTGAGCATGTTGTTCCCAAGAGCTCCAGGTAGTCCAAAAACACCTGCAAGAACAACAGGCAGATGCTCCTGTCTGACCCAAAATACCTTCTCTTGGCCAAATCCTGCTGGCCTGGGAGCACACTTGGTCTTGGATTCACAGCCTGTGCTGTCCAACCCGAGACAAATCACATTTCTATTGGCAAAACTTCAAGGCCAGCCAGGCTCTGCTGCAGAGCTGTGAGCGACAGTGTCCAGGCAGAGGAGATTGAAATCCCACATCCCTCTGTGCGGGGCCAGGAGACCCTCCTGCAGGCCCAGAGGGACACTGGTGTGACAGCACGTGGCATGTGTGACACCAGAGAGTGGAGAGCCCGTGACACGGTTGCTAAGGTCAGGGACTCCTGTTTTTTCCTCAGGTTTCTGAGCGATTCCCCCCTCTGGATGCAGTGTGTGCAAGGAAGGGGCAGAGCTTGGCTGTCTTTGGTTTCTCCCCACCACAGCCAAAGCACAGGAGCCCCCGGGCAGCCCTCCCACAGCGGGGCATGCACCAGCCCTCCTCCCTGGCAGAGCACAGCCCAGCAGCTCGGCTGTGGTACAAATGCAGTTCCCAGGAAAAGGTCCACAAACACATTTGCATGTACAAGGTGCAGTCTTAGATCAAGCAATTTCCTCGCTACATATGTACAGCCTGGTCACAGCTGCTTTTGATCCGATTCTCTTTGTATCCCAATAATGTACAGAGAGCCTTTGTGTGTCGGTCTGTTTATTTAAATGGATTTGGAGCAAACATTTTTTTAAAGCTGAAGCTTTGAGCCTCTAAGTGGGTTACCAGATTATATGCTGTCTTTATTTTATTTTTTTGTTTATTGCATACATTTTCAAGAATTATGCTTGCCATGAGAATTGAAAGCATTTTGCTTTAGAAGATACCTGCCCTATAAAGGGATCCAACATCACACAGGAGAGATGATGCAAACCTTCCCATCTCTAATAGCATTCTCCCCTCAACTAGGACAGGAAAAAAGGGAGAGGATATATGGTCTGTCAAGCCTATATTTAAAGTGAAGCACCCAAGGAGGATCAAGCCTGCACCACCAGCCTAACAGGAGTTTGGCACGAGCTAATACTAAGCAAAAAAGATGTTCTTGCCAGGGGAAGAGTGATCTTGGTTGTGGATCTCGCAGGTACGAGAAGCAGAGCCTGGCACAGCCCAGCCAGGACGTTCATTTGCCCACCCCTGTCTCAGGGTGTCCTTCCCAGCACTGCCCCAGCTCACAGCATCTCCCCAGGGAGCCCTTCCCTTGTGCCCAGGCTGGACCAGGAACTTGTCTTTCTCAAACAATGGGGTTTGTTTGAGGGGGGCTCAGCTTCCAGACAGAACTGGAGTGAGTTGTCAAGGACAGGGAACAGAGCTCCAGCCCAGAGCCTTGATGAGAAGGATGGAAAGTAGCAAGAAGTGACCCCGGAGACCAGAGCTGCACATTTAGGGATTTGGGATGCAAATGAGTAGAAATTTCAATACAGTGTAAGGAACTAACGAGGTCACAGTCACCTCACATGCACAGTCCTGGCCTTCTAATTAGACCAAAGATAGCATAGGAGAGAAGGGATGAGGGTGAGCTAGGGACAGCTTAAATAGTGGCAGGAATTTTAGGGCTGTGGTGGGTTTGGAGGGGCAAGAGGAAGGGGACTCATGCACTGCAACATCAGTTATGCACTCAACAGCAGTTGTGATGAGCCCCAAATTACTCAGCAGACCCCTGACAGGGACACCTGAGGAGGAGGAGGAGGAGGAGGAGGAAGCAGCCCTGCTTTCATTCCAGCACAGCCCTCTTGCTCTGCTCTTCCACACAGTTTAGGAGGTTTTAGGGGGGAGCACAGCCCTGCACTCTCTTCCTTAGCAGTCCTTCTAGGAAAAGCATTGTGAGCAACATTTCACATCAAGGGGGAGATTTAGCCAAGCTGATGCTCACCAAAAACAGCTCCGGCTCCAGCATGGTAATGGGATTTGGAATCAGCCATACAGGAGCTGCTCGGAGCTGCAATAGGGAAAGCCCACATCTGTAACCACTTTGGCAGGGGGAGGATTGAAGCCAGCCTCAGCAGAGAGGCTCCAACCCGATGGGAACCAGTCGCTATTTGTTTTGCTGTTGACATACAGCTGCAGTAGCTGTGGGTGATTTTAATAAGTCAGGACAATATTTCTATCAGTTCTGGGAGCTATAGATGGAACCCATACAGTATCCAGCTCAGGGCTGAGTGATTAATCACAACAAGGTCCCAAGCTCTTCTCATGCTTTGGAACCGGAGGGAAAACACACATTTTGTTTCAGATGTCACAGTCTGGGGGCAGAGCAGGCCTCCCACAACTGATTCACAGACTCAAGTGCTGTGCAAGAGCATTTTGAGAGCAGCAAATCTGCTCTGTCCCTGCTCCCCCACCCCCCCAGTGAGAGCCAGTGATGTGGGATCAGAGTCCTTGCTGTGCAAAGGGGCTCCTGGCTGCCCTGTCAGTGAATTGACTCCCTGAGAAACATCATTCACAGTATTTGAGCTGACACAGTTACAGCAGAGACACCCACCAAAGCCAGCCCCACACACACCCCGCTTCCCTGCCCTCCCCGTTCCAGTGCTGCTCCTCCCAGCCCAGCGCTGACACAGTCCTGCTGAGATGCTCCTATCCTCAGTACCTAGAGCTCAAAGAATACTTTTTCCCCCTGTGGACAGCAGTGGAGGACCTGGGAGGAGCAACAGACCAGCCCAACGTTCCACACAGCACAAACTAGCACCTTAACTCCTCATAATCCCATCCAAACATCTGCTTTCCCCCAGGAGAATTTTGCTGATTCCCTCTGTCACCATCCAGACATTTTCTTTCCCTTCCCAGTTATCAATGCCATGGCTTTCCCAGTCTGGTGGTGCATCTCCAAACCCCAGGAGCTGGGGACTGGCACCAAGAACCACCATGGAGGGTTTGGGAGAAACTTAATGAAACCAACTGCTAGAGGCCATAAGCAGGGCTTCATCTTTCATTTTTTTCCTCTTTAATGAATGTGTTTATTGTCTCTCTCAATCTTTATTAAGTGAAGAGCCAGACAAGCAGTTGGAGGGAATATACACTACGGCACAACCACTGTGCAAGGGGAGCAGTGCAACCCACTTGGCGGGCATGCAGGAATTAATAATTTAGGCTGGGGAATGCTTATTGTTGGCAGACAACCAGCACTTTCCTACATGATCAATGTTTGCACCTTGACTTTTTAGTACACAATCAATCCATGCCTGAGCACGGCCTGAGTTTTGGGAACTGCTTCGTACGTGAGGGCTGAGCCACTTGAAGCTGTAGCACCGATGTGGCTCCTTCTCCTGAGAGAGCAAGGAGCTGACCCGAGCCCATGTTTCAGCTCTGGGTCTCAGAACATCATTTATAATAAAAATCCCTCTGCCCCTGCCATCTTTAAAAAATTTACGTTTCCCTTCACAGCCTCTATTACCTCCAGAAAACATGAAGAGGAGCGGGAAGCACCCTTCAAGGCGATTCTGCCTGGGCAGATTGGGTGCTTTAGTGGCTACATCCTGGCTCTGACCATCATAAGGCACAAAAACAGACCCCTCAGACAGC